TTCCCCTCAGGCTGGGGGGGGGGGTCTTTTTTCCCTTTCTCTTTGTTATTGTTATTAAACACATGGTGTTCATTGTAGTTGCTTTAGAGACGATTTAGGGACGTTGCTGTACATTGCATTGCATTGCATAGTGCCTGTTTGGTATTGTGTACTGTATCCCTTATGATTATTGCTGCTGTTTTGCCAGCAAATATCCTCCTCTCGGGGATTAATAAACGTATAATCCTTCTCTCCATTGACAGGTCAAGAGTCGCTCTACAAGGCAGCTATTCAGTCAGAAAACACTTCAGCACTTGAGTTGTAATCGAGTTCGAGTGACAGTACGCGAGCGTGCAAATAAGAGCTAGAAAATAAGAAAGCGTGTAAACACCAGCTCAGAGAGACCTCCGTGCTAGTCCAGAGATCACAGCGGCGAAAAATAAATAAATAAATACAGTATACAAGGACACTCAAAGGGTTAATAAATTAAGATTACAGTCAATATTACATGCCGCATGGTCTCGCAGAGACAGATACATCTGTCGTCAAGCAGCTATGATCGCGCCAATTAGTCGTTATTAAACAACACACCTGACTGGAGGTCAAAGGATAATTGATTTTGCCAATTCATAACAGCTGGTTATTAATGTTCAGAGCCGCGAGGGGCCATACATCACTGTCAGAGGAGCGTTAACGGACTTCAGCCCAAACCACTGAGGTCCGGTTAACGTTAGCTCACTGGACAACACAAGCTGACCATCGCGGTCCAAACTGACACTTTAAACATGATATATTTCACTGTGACTAAAAAATTATTTCCAAAATCGTCGCGAGCATATCTATATTGCATAATAAACAGAGCAGCGCATTTACCTGACGGGCTTTCCTTCAAATTTCTGGTCGATTTGTCCGTAGTGAAATTCGTCTGTAAGCTAGCAGGCTAAGTTAGCTCTTCCTGTTGGCTACGAGCGCTGCTGCCATCTGCTCCTGATATCCCCGTATTCCATGATTTTGGCGTTTCTACTGCGAATATGTGATTTTAAACTGGAAAACTGACATTCGCGTTGAGGTGATTTGGGTATGATACTAGCATTAATTTTTTCTATACTGCGTTTGTTTTCGAATGTAGTAGAAGTCTCGTCCTGGAGGTGAATTCAACCAATCCTTGACATCCTCAGTCGCGCTCCTATTGGCTAGTAAGATGAGTGGCAGGGATCTCGGCGTGATTCCTCTCACCCTATTGGCTGGCTAAGTTACACGGCGTCGAGATTGGCCAATGGGAGTGCAGATATAGGAAATACCTCACGCTTCTACTAATCAGCGGCCGAGGAAGAAGCCCGCTCCCCGCCTCATCTCTTTAACCGTGTCCTGTTGACCTCCTGGAGTTATGCAATATAATAGCAGGCTGTTTGTTAGGCAGAATGCATGTTTAATGGGATTAAGGTTTTCTGTTTATGCTCAGTAGATGTTTAAATATGCATTACTCTCACTGTGTTCTTTGGACTATTGTTTGTAATATTTAAATATCGTTGTTCTGTTTGTTGCGTTGAACATTGTTTAGAAGCAGTAAGCATGGGTTTTAAATCTTTTGTATGTGTTATTTGAGTTCCAGTTTTCAATTAAAATATTTAAGATGGAAAATCTTAAATACCCAAATTAGGATTTCTAATTATTTTAGCCAATGTATGAATAAATTATAACTTTATTTAAATGTCAAATACTCTTCCAAAACCTTTCCCATGGGTTTTCCAGGCCTGGAAATGATGCTTCAATGTAGGTGATGTTTTATCTAATAATTTTCAGCTGTGGTTGATTTTAGTATTTATAATCTTTACACTATACCAGTTGAAAAAAGATTAGTCATCTCTTCAATGCATCAAACATCGTTTACTGAAAGACACCCTACTCAATTTTGGAAAATCTTTCTTATAAAACATTGAGATGCCCAGTTATTAAAAATATAGAATGAACATTGAAACAACCAGTACAAATACACGGTTTTATTTTTGTTTCCAATAGCTGAGAAACAGGATTTATCATTGGAAATCAAATTGCACTGGAAAAATAAAATCTTACAACCATTTTTTAAACCTCCAATTGGTTTGTTTCTCATTATGATACAGTTGAAATAATACACTACAGTGCATTAAGGAAAAACATCCCTGATTGCTTTATAAGAGAAAGGAAGAAAATCACAATCTAAATAGCCTGCTCTCTGTCAGTAAAACAAATAAAAGTACAATTATATATTAATAAACAACAACTCTACTACTAATAAAGTCTTAATCTCAGTGTTGCTGTAAAGCAAATATGATGTGCACAAATATAGCCTTGTTGAGGAGATCAGAGATAATAGAAAGGCCATCAACCAAATGAAATACATCAACTTTTTGCTTTTTTTTTTTAAATAGCACATATACTCGGTTCAAAATCCCCCCCGAAACATATACAAGATCTATCAGAAAAGAGTGATATGATTATATTATGGCATTTATGATAGACTTTGAGACCGACGATCAGATGCCAGATGAGCAATGGCATAGATTTCTCATGTTTTGTTGCCACCGTTATGTTCTGTATATGACAAGTAGCTCTGATGCAAGAAAGCAATACAAGCGTGTAGGAATGCAATCACTACACTTATTACTTTGATTTTTCAGTGCTAGTCTCCTATACTGACCACAAATGTTACGTCAACAAAGACAGACACACCTTGACCTGAAGACCTCAATTATGGGATGTCGTTCTGAGCATCTAAAAGCATAGTTAACTTTTTCCCTCCTCAAAAACTAGTTCACCATATAGGAGTAATAAATATTATCTTTTTCAAAAATTTTTAAATACATTTAAGCTACAAAAATTAAAGGATGACCTGCTTGATTTAAATCATTTTGGATATCACTACTCCGCCTTAAATGACAAAAATATTCATCTCAGAACATATAAAGCAGGGCACTACAGGAACTCAGCGTGTCTTTGAGCCAGCAGAGGACACTAGTGTATTGCTTTGCAGTATTCTTATACCTCACAAACACATTAAAGTGTAATAGTGAATCAGAGATTTGTGAAATGCGCCATCTGCTGGCACCAGTGATTGGAGTTTGTGTGGCAAGCAGAAGAATTCTTAAATCCTAATTACAGTAGCAACTCCTCTGAGATTTAAATGGATCAAACTTTAAATCCTGCCAGGCAATTCAAAACACACAGTTTGAAATGGAGGGAGGGGAATGAAAAGGACAACAGATCTCTAGAGGAAAGGGACAAGTTGAGCTGGCAAAGCAAGATCTGGAGCTGGGTGCGACGTCCAACACTAAAAACCCAGATAATGCTAACTAGTAAAGGGTGGAGGGGGAAAAAAACAAGAACAGACAGACCAATAGGACAGATAAGAGTAATCATGTTTAAGTAATTAAAAAGGTTAATGGAAAAGCATAACTGGAAGGCAAAGGGGAGGCGACTGAGTTGAGAGGAAGCACACAGAGAGAAAGAGGCAGCAAGCAAGTTGGAGACAAACAGAAAATGATTAGGTGCACAATCTCAGTCCTTCTCAGCAAATGTCAACTTTGGTCAACCCTGAAAGACTATTCAGTCCTCTTCAGTCAAAATAGAGAACAAAACCGAGAACAGGACAGATTGACAACAGTAAACACCTGAGGAAGAGAGTCGTAACTTGGGAGAACTGGACACAGTAAGATAGATAGTACAGGATGTTTAAATAAAGTTCTCTTTATTGATAATTGTCTTTCAAAAAAGACACTAAAAAAAGCACACATAGTAAGCAAAGAATTTCAAAGCTTGTTGTTGTGATCCATCTACAAAAAAGTAAAAAGTTCCAACATGATTGTTTGTTTTAAATCACTGGACCTCTAAATGGAAATTATGCACCTGTGACAGTCTCTCTCTACCTCACGCTTTCTCTGCACATCCATTCTCCCTGCATGTGTGTGTGTGTGTGTGTGTGTGTATATACACATGTATCACATTTCACTCAGACTGGCTCTCTAACTAATGCAGGATGTGCAAGTTCTGTGTTTGAAACAATGCAGGGACATAAACAGTGAGGGGGGCTTGACCCACACCTCTCGACCCACCCCCCTTTGACCCCTCTGTCTGTCTCAATCTTCCCCAGAGCCTGGCTGGGCGTTTACACGGAGGCTTCGTCAGAGGCTCCCTGACAGAGAGACAGGTGGAGAGATGGGGGCAATGAGCGGTGGAGGGGGAGGGAAGGATGGGTGGAAAAACAAACACAAAGAGCGTAACAAACATAACCGACGCTCACACACGCAGTCTCATATATAAACACACATTTGTAAAGTTACATGAGGAAAAGAAAAAAAAAAA